TTAATATGTTTGCAGAAGACACCAAAATTGATGGTATAGTGGACAGTGAAGACGTTTATCTAAGAGTACAACAGAATCTTGATCAACTGGGCCAGTGGATCTAGAAATAACAGATGGAGTTTAATTTAGATAAACAAAAAATGCTGCATTTTGGTAAGACAAAACAGGACTTCCACAGTTAATGGTAGGGCCCTGGGGAGTGTTGTCAAACAGAGATACCCAGAGGCACAGGTACATAGTTACTTGAAATTGGCATCACAGGTAGACAGGGTGGTGAAGACGATATTTGGCATGCTTGCATTCATCAGTCAGAGCATTAAGTACAGGTGTTGGGACATCATGTTACAGCTGTATAAGATGTTGGTAAGGCCACATGTGAAATGTTACGTACAATTCTCATTGTCTTCTGCAGGAATGATGTTAGTAAATTGTAAAGAGTGCAAAAAAGATTTATAAGGATGTTATTGAGACTGGAGGATTTGAGTTATAAGGAAAGTTAACTTACTAAGAAACTGACCACGCACACTGATAAAATTAAGTAGTCCAATATGCCATTTGAAATGTCAATGATTTAATTCAGGCAACTCACCAATGGTGATATTTGGTTATAAACTAGTTTTCGGCAAAATCAATAAAACTATAATGAGTTACTATTTTTAAATGTATTAAAGCATATGTTTTTCATGAGGGTAAAGAAACATAATTATCTTCTATCATGCTGCCAATTCCACAATCTGATGGGAATATTTATATTTGGGATTAATCAAATAGTGCATTTAGTGCATTTCCTGATTGTTCCTTAACTCCTTAAAGCCTGTCCATCACCTATAAGGTATAACTTAAGAGTGTTATGGAATACTTCTCACTTACCTGGTTGAGCACAACTCCAACAATACTTGAAGCTTGACAAAAAACAGCCCATTTGATTGGCAACATATCTACAAACATGTACACCCTCCATCACCGACACTCAGTAGCATCAGTATGTATCATCTCCAAGATGCACTGCAGAAATTTACAATATTCTTAGACAGCACATTCCAAAACCACAATCACTACCACACAGAAGGACAAAGGCATCAGATACATGGGAAAACCACTTGCAAACTCCTTTCCAAGCCATGCATTATGCTGATTTGGAGCTATATTGCTGTTCCTGCAATTAAAATCCTAAAACTCCCTCGCTAACAGCATTGTGTGTGCATCAAAACTGAATGCATATCAGTGGTTCAAGGCAGCTCACCACTGCTTTCTTGAGTACAGTTAGGGGTAGGCAATAAATGCTGATCCAGCCAGCAAATTCCATATCCCCTGAACAAATAAAAAGAACGTTACTGAGGTGGAAATAGATAGTCTTGGTGATGTTATAACTATGAGGTTGAAAGATCTACTTCATTCAGTTGTGATTCTAGGACCTAATTTTTATTTCCAGTTTGACTGCACAGAGTAGGGAGAAATCCTGGCTCTGTAATCTTGACCTTTAAAAATGGCCAACCATATTTTATATTTTTGTTCAGGAATTACAGGCTGGATTGTGAGCTGGGCTTTTTGATCTGCAAAGAGATAAGAAGCTGCTCAGTTCTTGAAGTGGGCTGGACAGAAAGCCTGCCTGGGGACCTTCACTGTGATAAAACTAGAAAATATCCCTCCTGTTCTCATCTCCTTACTCTCTATGTCCTATCCATGCCAATATATGTCCCTGTACCCACCCCCAAGCCCCCTCATTACACCCTTTGCCACCTTATCCCCATCTACTCAATCCAGAGTTCCGTGTACCTTTTATGCCATCCTATCCCACCTCCCATAGCCCTAATACTTCATAAGCCCTCGGTCTTCCCCATGGCACTTTTTTAGACAGTGTGGACAGTAATCACGAGACATCATGACTAGAAAATAAAGTTGCAATCAGTTGATTAAGTCACATTCTCATTGATACAGAACAAACATCTAGAGCAGTTACATTGTTTCAACAAATCCCTTGATGAAACAAACATGTTAGTTGGGCCGAGGAGTGGCAGATGAAGTTTAATTTAGGTAAATGTGAGGTGTTGCATTTTGTTAGGCAAACCAGGGCAGGGCTTGTATACCTAATGGTACAGCCCTGGGGAGAGTTGCTGAACAAAGAGATCTAGGGGTGCAGGTGCATAGTTCCTTGAAATTGTAGTCACAGGTAGACACAGTGGTGAAGAAGGCATTTGGCACGCTTGCCTTCATTAGTCAGAACATTGAGTACAGTACTTGGGACGTCATGTTGCGGCAGTACAGGATATTGTTGGGGCCACTTTTAGAATACTACGTATAATTCTGATCGACCTTCTATAGGAAGAACATTGTTAAACTTATGAAGATGTAGAAAAGATTTACAAGGATGCTGCTGGGACTGGAGGGTTTGAGTTATAGGGAGAGGCTTAATAGGCTGGACCTTTTTCTCTGGAGGGTCAGAGGCTGAGGGGTGACCTTATTGAGGTTTATAAAATCATGAAGTGAATGGATAGGGTGAATAACTGAGGTCTTTTCCCCAGAGTGGGGAGTCCAAAACTAGAGGGCATAAGTGTAAGGTGAGAGGGAAAAGATTTTAAAAAGAACCTTTTTCATGCAGAGGGTGGTCAGTGTATGGAATGAGCTGCTAAAAGAAGCCATGTATAAGTACAACACTTAAAAGTGTATACAACACTTAAAATGGTTATTTGAATATGAAGGGTTTAGTTCGATGTGGGCCGAATGCTGGCAAATGGGACTAGGTCAGACTGGTCGGCGTTGACATTTGGGCTGATGGGTCTCTTTCCCTGCTGGAAACGTCTATGCTCCATCACTCCAACTCTGCTCCAGGATTCATTCATTAATTTAGTATCCTAGATCAAACTGTAGCATAAACATTTCCTTTAGTGACACGAAACCAATATGGATATTAAAACTTTTCCGAAGAACGGTCCCGATCCGAAACGTCAACTTTCCTGCTCCTCTGACGCTGCCTGGCCTGCTGTGACCCTCCAGCTCGACATTTTGTTATCTCTGACTCCAGCATCTGCAGGTCTTGCTATCTCTGGACATTAAAACTACAACATCGATTATATATTAGTGTTTGCTGTGAATTCAGTGACTTGTAAAGATGCAGCCTAAGTATCTTAAGACCATTACTGAAAGCAGCTGTCAAGGTAAAGATTAATATCTTTAATTTTAGGTATAGTTTAGATGAAGTATCTGATACTGGAGCAGTGATGAGATGACTTATTTTCAGAATGTTATACTTGCTCTGCTTTCCGCACCATTTGGATGGCAAAGCATGTTATGTGGATCTACATATATTTTTCAAGGGAACAGCGCTTTATCACATTCTGACCCCCGCTGGAATGGAATTACTGAGTTTCCCAATTATTCTAGGTGATTCGTCCAAACAGAAAAAATATTTTAGAATTTCATCTACATTGACGACTCTCTTTCAAAACAGCGAATGTAAAATCTTTTGCATCACGTTCAAATCCCCCAATGACATCTCGCAACCCTTATTAGCAATTTCCTTAAGACTTTTTTCCTTTGGCCGCACGAAAGATTTTTTTTTGTTTTACATGCCCTCTTTCCTATCGCTCCACTATTAGTGACAAAGACTAACGCTTCATTTGTCGTGTTTTGTAACTATTCCCTTCAACCGTTCCACTCTAGCACTTTATCCTTTACGTTTTAGAAGCCAATCATTGTGAGCAAGGTTTTGGTTACCTCTCAGAGATAGTAGGAACTGCCGATGCTGCAGAATCTGAGATAACAAGATGTAGAGCTGGATGAACACAGCAGGCCAAGCAGCATCAGAGGAGCAGGAAAGCTGACGTTTTGGGTCTGTACCCTTCTTTAGACCCGAGAAAGGTCCAGACCCGAAACGTCAGCTTTCCTGCTCCTCTGATGCTGCTTGACCTGCTGTGTTCATCCAGCTCTACACCTTGTTATCTTTGGTTACCTCTCCATTTTTTTCAATCATATTTCCCTGTCAATTCCTCTATCAATTTCACGTATTTCTCCTCCTCAGCAATATTTCTTTTAAATCAAAAGGTGGGAAGGGATGGAAGACTACGATCATTATGAATAATTACCCAGAAGGAAGGGTAATTGGCGAATGTGATATGTGACGAAAGCTTTTGGGAATTGAGGATTTGAAAGTCAATATGCACTCTTACCTAACAGGGCAACTCCTGCGAGTTACGGATGAAGTACGTGCCAAGGGCAGGTTCCTCGAATTAGCAGGTTATGCCTTTCATACTGGATTCTGCCTTAATTGGCACTCTGGTTTTCCACTTCTTTGCACTGGAGACGACAACATTATGGTTTGATGGTTGGCTGAGCTATTTGTGGGTTGAACGTTAAAGCACAACAATATTTAACCAAAAACACAGCACTGTTTTAATAACAAGTACTGGACAATGAATGGTCTTGGTGGAATATTCCAGTACAAACATTTCTTTCAACCTACAAATATTCAATATTTTCTTGATTTTAATATGCACATTGCTTAAGTACATATTTATTGATAGGGGATTAGTTTAGCAATCGCTGCGCTGGTTGAAGCAAATCAAAATGTAACTGAGCCAAAAATTGTCGCCATGGCACAGGGATGACTCACGAGGAGTTTACAGCTCGCTGTTGAGCTCAATTCCGTGAGTAAACCATAACATCCATTTACCTCGCCTCCTACATTTTAAAGATCTGTCTGTGGTTGAGATAAAGTACATCTGCAACCGTGAGAGGTGTGAGGGAGAAAAAGTGAGGAGAAATGCAATTGAAGCAGTGCATGGCCTGAAATGCTCTGGAATGTTAGCTGAAGTGGTCCAGTAGCCAGCAGCAGCTAGGCTCGACTGACTGCCTTCTCCTTATAAGGACGCTGCGCGCGCGTGGCTCCGGCCGGATGCTGCAGCGGGCACGAGAGTGCGCGTGCCTTTATTCGGAATAAAGCGGGAGGACGAACGGCGGCTCGCGCGCCTCTGGGCTGTCAATCATTCGGTCGGTTACGGAGCACGAGCACGAGCAGGGCTGCGGCTGTCCGCGAGCCCGTACACAACCTGGAGGAAGGCACCGTGTGGGAAACGTTCAACCCCCCTCTCCTTTTTATTACAGCCAGATCACCACAAGACCACAGACAAAACACGACAGGTAAATTTGGAGGCGTTTTGCATTAAGTTTTGTTTTTGTTCCGAAAAATGAACAGTAAAGCTTCTCTTCACCCCCTTCTGCCAAAATAAAAGATTTGATATGCGCGATCCGGAGACAAGTGATCGTGAATCAGAGCTTGCTTGTTGATGTAGCGTTCGGTACTACCTTCCCATTCAACCATCTGCATTTCTTGAGGTTTTCCTTAATCTATTCCTAAAATAAGGATAACCAGGAGGCGAGTGTGAACGTTGACATTGCAGTTTTCAAATGTGTAGGTTTTGTAACGGATTAGAACAACAGTTTGACTCAACGTTTTATTTTGTGATGGAGCTGTCACATGCTTTCTACAATTTTTAATCAAATTTCGGGCTTCTGTAATTAGGATACAAGAAATCATGCAGGCATCACAATAAGATGATTCTTAGCCGGTAGCTAAAGGCCTTGCCTATAGTGAACCAGTGGTGTGAATTTGAGAAAATGCAAAGTCGCTGTGCCAAATCTGGTACCTTTTACAAACGTTGCTTTCATTATTTTTCTTCCCGAGCTATTAAACTGTGCAGAAACACAAGAATGCTTTTAGAATGATGAGATGGAATGGGAAGGAACGACTTTTGAATTACGGCCCCTAGGCTGGGGGCTTATAAGAGGCGGTCTCTGCTGTTCGGAAGCTTTTGAGAAGTCTCAGGCTTGACTATCTCGATATATTTCTCTATGACAGTTTACATTTAAGGGGAGTATTCTCTTGGGAAGCTTAAGTGGGCCATTGCATGTTTCAGGAGACTAATTAGCCTGAAAGTGACAAGCTGTTCGGCTTTCATCTAACTTAATGCTGATGCCATTTGTCTGAAATCAATTTTCCAGCAGTTTCCCAAGATTTCAAATATTCTAAGGAATAGTGAATGCTTTTTCGTCTTTGTGAAAAAGTGTATCACATGCTTATTCCATCTTGAGAATATCGCAAGGAATAAGCCTAATTCTGCAGAATGGAGATGTGGATGGTTGCCAAATTCCTTCTTTACTTTGAAAATTTCGGATTTAAAATTTCAAACATGTTCCACTTAGAATTGGTATTTTTTTTAAGTTTACACTTCTAAGTTAGTTTGCAATTTTCTTTGGTTTAAAGAGGTATTGTGCAGTTTGTTAGATGCTTTATTAGCTGCACTCCAGAAATTTCACATGCTGACTGTGAATGATGTTTAAGTCATTTGCAATAATATTAATTTCTCTGGGGCACAATACATAGTGCACTTGACCAATAGATTTCAGTGTGCATATTCTGTGTAAACAGAACCACCGTCCTAATTTTCAGTGTTAATATACAGGACAGCCAAAGGAATTCAGGTGTGCTAATTTTTTACTTAGTTAGATAAGTAAGTAAACCTCCAGATTCTAAACTAAGATGAAAATATAGTGCCTGTCAGTGAATGATTTGTTGTGAGGAACTGAAAATTCATTTTTGTTGTTTGAGGGAACCACTGAAGAGAATAAACAGTAAATTGTATTGAGGAACTGATGTAGGGAGAAAAATATAGTCGATTGTTATATTTGAAGATTTTTCTTCGCCTTTGAAAAAAGTCTACATTTTTACGCAGGGAGTTATGATCTAGAATATGATAATTTAAAGGGTGTGATGCAAACAGCTTCAATAATTTTCTAAATGGAATTGGATATGTACTTTGCAAGACATTGGGGGGACAGCAAAGGAATGGGACTGGTTAGAAATATTTTTCAAAGAACTTTACCTGAATAAATGTATGAATATATTTTTCTTGTGTTATCACCTCTTCTGCCTAGTGACTTCCTGGTGAATATACACAGAGATTGACTTATTTTTACACTGACTTCCTCTAAATTGGAAGTTGGCTTGTGGAGCATTCATATTAGTTCTAAGCTTTAATTGTTGCAGAATTTTATTTTATTCATTTATCTCACTTAAAATTTGTTAAATATCATTAGTTTCTATTTGATTAATTTATATTTCTGGAATGCAACATAGATATTTTCAGTTTACAACATCACTTGCCTCATGGTGTCTGACACGCTTTCTGAATGAGCTATGCAAATAGCCTTATTCCTCTGCCCTTTTACCATACCCTTTTAAATTTTAACGTTTGAGATTTGTACTTGCCTCCCTTTGAAATGCTATATTATGTATTTTCTTCCACCAGTTTTTCACAAGACTTTTAAATGTTCTAATGATCCTACCCTCTTATTTTGTTCTGTTGGTAATGATATATTTACAGCTCAATAACCAATGGACATAGATTTCCCCTATTGACTTTCTGAACAGCACTTATAATTTTGAACACCTATTAGATCACCTTTTAAATTTCAGTACTCTGTAGAGAAATGCAATTCTCTAGTCCAAAAGGAAAATGCCGTGGATACTGGTAATCTGAAATAAAAACAGAAATGCTGGAAATACTCAGCAGCTCTGACAATGTCAGTAGGGAGTTAATATGCAGGTACAACAAATGATTGGGAGGCAAATGATTGCGTGCACTATGTATTGCACCCTTAAAAAGTTAACATTATTGCAAATGGCTCAAACAACATTTACAGTCAAAATTTGAAATTGCAGGAGTGCAGCCAATAAAGCATCTAACAAACTACACAATACCTGTTTAAACCAATAAGATATTGCAAATCAAATTAGAAGTATTAAACTTAAAAAAAACTACCTTTTTCTGACTGGTTCATGTTTGAATTTGTAAAGATGGAATTGTCAAACTACAGAAAGGATTTGGCAACTGTGGATACCTTAATTCTGCAGAATTAGAACATAAGAACATAAGAACATGGAGCAGGAGTAGGTCGTCCGGCCCTTCGAGCCTGCTCCGCCATTCAATAAGATCATGGCTGATCTTTTCGTGGACTCAGATCCACTTACCCGCGTTCTCACCATATCCCTTAATTCCTTTATTGTTCAAAAAAAATCTACCATGTCTTTAAAAACGTTTACTGAAGTAGCGTCAACTACTTCACTGAGCAAGGATTTCCATAGATTAACAACCCTCTGGGTGAAGAAGTTCCTTCTCAATTCAGTCCTAAATCTGCTCCCTCTAATCTTGAGGCTATGCCCTCTTGTCCTAGCTTCACCTGCCAGTGGAAACATCCTCTCTACTTCTATCTTATCTATTCCCTTCATAATTTTATATGTTTCTATAAGATTCCCCCTCAATCTTCTGAATTCCAATGAATATATTCCCAATCTACTCAGTCTCTCTTCATAAGCCAACCCCCTCAACACCTCCTTTGCACCCCCTCCAGTGCCAGTACATCCTTTCTCAAGTAAGGAGACCAAAACTGCACACAGTACTCCAGGTGTGGCCTCACCAGCACCTTGTACAGCTGCAACATAACCTCTCTGCTTTTAATCTCAATCCCTTTAGCAATGAAGGACAAAATTCCATTTGCCTTCCTAATTACTTGTTGTACCTGCAGACCTACCTTCTGTGATTCATGCACAAGGACACCCAGGTCCCTCTGCATAGCAGCATGCTGCAACTTTTTACCATTCAAGTATTAATCCTTTTTACTATTACTGCTACCAAAATGTATGACTTCACATTTATTTACATTGTATTCCATCTGCCAGACCTTTGCCCACTCACTCAATGTATCTATGTTCCTCTGCAAAGTTTTACAGTCCTCTGCACACTTTGCTCTGCCACTCATCTTAGTGTCATCTGCAAACTCTGACACCCTACACGTGGTCCCCAACTCCAAATCATCTATATAAATTGTAAATAATTGCGGTCCCAACACCGATCCCTGAGGCACACCACTAGTCACTGGCTGCCAGCTAGAATAGCACTCATTTATCCCCATTCTTTGCTTCCTGTTAGTCAACCAATCCTCTATCCATGCTAATACTTTACCCTTAACGCCATGCATCCTTATCTTATGTAGTAGCATCTTGTGCGGCACCTTGTCGAAGGCCTTTTAGAAATCTAGATACACCACATCCACTGGGTCCCCATTGTCCACCTTGCTTGTAATGTCTTCATAGAATTCCAAAAGATTTGTCAAGCATGACCTGCCCTTCATGAACCCATGCTGCATCTGCCCAACGGGACAATTTCTATCAAGATGCCTTGCTATTTCTTCCTTGATAATAGACTCAAGCATCTTCCCCACTACAGAGGTTGAGCTAACCGGTCTATAATTCCCCATCTTTTGTCTACTTCCCTTTTTAAACAGTGGCGTCACATTTGCTGTTTTCCAATCTGCTGGGACTGCTCCAGAGTCCAGCGAATTTTGGAAAATTACCGCCAGTGCACCTGCTATTTCTCCTGCCATCTCTTTTAGTACCCTGGGATGCATTCCATCAGGGCCAGGAGACTTATCAATCCTTAGCTCCAATAGCTTGCCCAACACTACCTCTTCCGTAATAATGATTGTTTCCAGGTCCTCACCTACCTTCATCTCTTTGTCAATTACTGGCATGTTATTAGTGTCCTCCACTGTGAAGACCGATACAAAATACCTGTTCAATGCCTCGGCCATTTCATCATATCCCATAACTAAACTCCCCTTCTCATCCTCTAAAGGGCCAATGTTTACTTTAGCCACTCTTTTTCGTTTTATATATTAACAGAAATTTTTGCTATCTCTCTTTGTTAGGCTTGTTCCTTGAAATATTCTCAAAGGTGGAATGTGATACAATTTTGATGTTGGTGTTTATTGCAAGGAAAATGGAATATAAAAGCAAGGAAAGTTTATTGGGCCTTGTTGAGACTGCAACTAGCGTATTGTAAGCAGTTTTGAGTTCCTTATTTGAGCAAAATATATTATTGCATATGAAGTAGTTTAGCGAAGGCTAACTCAACTTATTCCTGAAATGAAGGAATTATGCAGAAGGATTGAACAGGTAGAGCCTAGTTTCACTGGAATTTAGAAGAATAAGATATTATCCTTTTGAAACATGTTTAAGATTTTAAGAGAACTTGATAGGGTTGGTACTGGATGGTATTCCCTGTATGAGGGAGAGTAAAAGT